CCCCCCCCCCCCAAAAAAAAAAAAAACCATCTAGGTGACACCATAAATGACATTAACTAATTGATTAATTGAAATGCAAGGACATGTGACTTATTTAATTAGGTATATTGAGTGTAATTACCTAGATAGATATTGTAGCATTGGTGAAACAAGATAAGATTACTTCTTTTCTAAACGAGTAATTCTATATATTTAGTAAAGGCTTAGATGATCCTTGATATATGTGATAGAAATGTGACTATCACAATGTTCAATAAATTTTAAATGCATGTTTATATATTTTTTTTGATATTGAATAACAGTGATCAACTTTCACATAAATTGATAATCATCTAGATTATAGATGAAAAAAATTATTCATAAAAACTAATTAAAATGGATAGAATAATTGTTTCCTAAATTAGGTTTCCAATAGCCTAAGATTCCAGACAAACAGTACATTGGAACTCTAATTTCTCACATTTAAAAAAAAAAATCAAATTTTGATGAAAAATGTAGTTCAAAAAGAAGGAAAATTTTGGATTTATGAGTAATATTATTTTATTGAAAAATGTGTGATTGAAAAAAAAAAAGAAAAATGTATTAAAATTATACAAAAGATGTAAAGAATATGTTGTCTAAGGGGCGTCCCTTTAGCTTGTGGGGTATAAGAAGAGGTCCCACAAGAACCATAATGTGATTAAAATCGACAAATAATACTTGGAATATACTAGTTAGGTTCTTGGGTACGAATATGTAGGTGCTTCCTATTGATAGACATGGTCATGTGATTAAGTTTCCGTTGGAGTTACATTCTTTAAAATATTATTTTTTAAAACTTATTTTCAATTATACATTCTCCCAAAAATAATTCTACATATAAATCTAAATTTGTTCTCTACTTTTAGTCACATGTTCTTGAAGAAATTACTATTATAAAATCCATTTTTTCCAAAAAAAATGGGGCTCAAAACAAACCCTAAAAAACTTGAATACATAAGCGAACATTGTCTTATGTTAACAAAAGAAGTGGTGGTGGTGGTAGTGATGGCAATGACGATGGTGATAGCGATGATGAGGTGAAGGTGGCGACGGTGGTGGCAGTGATGATGCAACTTTAGTTTCCTCCTTTCAACTTAGCTAGACGTCTACCACGCACTACATATGTTTTTGTGGGTCGGGGGCATTTCAGTAACTTCATCCACAATAGCCTTGATACGTCTTGCACACACCGACAAAAAAAAAAAGAAAAGGGAAAAGAAAAAAAACTAGAGCCAACTCCAAAGCCCAAATGACCAGCTTACTATTTAATTAATTTTCTTCTATTTTTCTTAACCGTAAGGGGTTTCAAACCTTTCATTTGCGACATCTATATTATCATCTATGTCAATGATATCCTCACCTAACTCATAATATCTATTTAGACGTTAAATATCCATAAAAAACACACGTAATGTGTAACTAAAAGGATAAATTGTTCTACAAATTTATTCCAAAAACGCCGACTTTTCAACTTACTTTAAATGAGATAATTGTATGCTTTCAATCAAACATGATGTAACTATTTAACGTCCAAATAAATGAATTACACTCAATATATTACACGAACAATGTTAAAAAGATTGGGAACACATGAAAAATTAAAGACGTAGTAACCACATTTATGAAAATAGACAACTGGAGGAATTTACTCTTAAATAGAATGGTGAAAATAAACAATCTTACCCTTATTTATCAAGCATTAATTACTATTATGTTGGAGACAACAAAAACTCCACCTAGTCAAATCAACACAAGCCAGAAGTCAAGTCCATAGAAAGGCAACTCGACGTGGTCAAGTTTATCAAGAAACCAGTAAATAAAGTTCCTGAGAAGAACTTGAAAAGAACAAAAGAATCGATTTGATTTACTCATTAACACCAAATTCGCATTACAATAAACAAAGCGAACTACCAGTAATTCATTGATATTTGTCGATAATTTCATGTTTTTTCTTCTCTCCAACCTCTACAAGCAAAGCCAGAAGAGCCTCACAAACTTGAGAAGCATCTGCTTCGGAAGTATCATCGTTCATTGATGAATAAACCATCCAAGCATGATCTAATTTGCGCTTTGGTCGAACCACAACAGAACCCGGAACCTCTGCATCTCGACAAGTTACCAGTCCATCACTCTTTTCGCCATACCTTGTCTGAAGAAGTTGGGCACATGCTGCCATTGCAGCACCAAGCGGTATCACCACTGGGAGTGTTGTGGGTTGGCCAGTAGAGAGGGAGGGAAACACAGGCAGTTCTGCATGCGCAACGTGGGATAATGTCGCCAAAACAGCAGGAGAAATACTGGCTTCTGTGTGGAAAGAAACAACTGGTAGCTCCCTTGGCAGATGGTATTTTCTCAAGAAGTCCTTCCGCTTCTCGTAAGTTAAATCTTCTAGAGCCTGCAAGTCCCCCTTCACAACAACTGCCAAAATTAGAATATTGCATGACAAAAGCAAAGATCTTTGTGCAATTGGCAAGAGTGTGAACTCTGTAAGCAACCATTCACTTCGTAGAAAGTAGAAACAATATATGGTGTTTGGCACCCATTAATTTTTTTAAAATTTTTCTCTTTCTTAATTATAATCACACATTCTCCAAATAAAATAATATTATACATAAATCTAAAAATTTTCATTACTTTTCAACCACACATTCTTCCATCAATCACTATTCCAAAATTTATAATTTCCCAAAAATGGGTGCCACACACATATAATATCATCCCATCTGGCCAACAAAATATCTAACTCAATGAATCATGAAGCAGAGCATGAAGAGAGCACACTAAATCTAGATTTTATTTGATTATTATATCTGCAGCTACAAATCTACAGGACGGTTAATTTTACTGCCTTGTACTTTCATTGACTGAAGGTTAAATTGTATGTCCTCATAAGTTTGTATTTTGCTTTATTTCCTTCCAGTAATTAAAAAAAAAATACTTCATCCTTGTGATGGTATGATTAAAGCCAGAAAAACTAAAACACAGGTAATTAGAGTATAAGGTAGGCAAAAAATACCTTGATCACTTTACTGATCAGGATCTCCATAAGCTTACGGATGTTAACGTAATCACCAAGCTGTCCTTCTCGTAGTATATCCGAAGCAATGGGACTACCCCCATAAGGACTCTGTGCTAATGCTAAACCAGCAACCTTATCTTTGAGTTCATCCCAATACATGGATAAAGCAGCAGCAGAATCTACTCCCCCTTTACTGTGCCCAAGAAGCAAAACACGCTTACCAGAACCCCAATATATTTCTTCAATGTAGTCTTTTATCTCTTTCGCATTCTTATCCACCGAAGCCTGCATAGTTCCCGATAATGAGTAATAAAAACATGACATAAATAGTAAACTAGAAGGGCAAACAGTAAACTACCTCACTGTGAATTTTGGCTATGTGACAGGTGAGGCCCATCTTCGAAAAACTCGTTTTTGTATTAGTAAAATAAAGAGGCCCATGGTTGCTGAAAAGACCTTCAAAAGGAGAAAAGGCTCAGGCTTAAAACAAAATTTGCAAGAATAAATCAAAATAGAAATTATCTGTGCTATTACTTATTATACGTACAAAATATAAAGAAAGCAGCTAGTGACTTATGCCCTGAGGCACACCTCACATAAGGCCTTCATTGAACGCCTCAAAACTTACACCTTGAATGCCATTTTCGAGGCTTATGCCTCAATCTACTACAGCTTACTTCTCAAGACTAAGCCTTAGGACAACACAGGTGTGCTCTCTTTTCACAAAAATTTCTGTTTCCTTTTTTTTTTTCCCCTTTTTTTTGAAGGTGAAAGAGAAGGACAGGGTACCACTAGAAGCGAAAGATGATGACAAAGAATGAGAAGTAACAATGAAGAATCAATGTGACTCCAATCTAACACTTGTGTGCAGAGTGTCCTAGATGAATTTACAAGTTAAAATTGGAGGGAGATTGAGAATCAAATGATAAGAACGCTGAATAATGTAAATTTTCAGTCAGAACAATGGGTAAGTGCAATTGAAAGATATAAATGTGGAAGCTTTGTGCTGGAACTACTTTGGCAAACCACAACGAAGATAAGGAATCACGAGAAAATGAATTATTATAAAATTAATCCAGAGAAATGCATTGCTACCTGGAACCAACAAGTAAACCATTGTATTTGGCAACTTGTGCAAACCATGCCTGACAGTGGAATTACAACTGAATTACAATTTCGAAAATAACAGTAATCTGGTCAGAAAAATATGGAAACGATAAATGTCATTCATACCTAATATCATCAAGTATTTCCATAAATCTTCCAGTTCCATCTTCAACTGGAGGCATTTCTACAGCTCGTTGTAGCCATCCAATGTCATCAGCAGAACCACGAACTGTCCTCCTCACCCGTTCAATGAGGCTGATAGCAAAGGGGGACAAGATAATAAGTGCAAAAATGAATTAAATATCAATCAACTACAAGAATTGTTCAAGAATCTAATGAAGGTATCAGTGATTGACAGGACATGAAAAGCATGTAGAGGAAGCTTATAAACAAAATTTTCTTATAAAGTAGCGAAGTGAATTTGAACGTGCTAAATAAAGGATTACTAAGAACATGTTGGATAAGCTTAAAAGTTACTTTTCTAGAAATTAAGTTAAGATCTACTTTGTAGAAAAGTAAATTTGTTATAAAATTATTAATTCTTAAATTTATTTTTGGCAAAAAAGAAGCTCAAAAGTAAGCTTAGCTAAACATAGTCTGTGCAAAGTTGATATCAAGCTAACATATCAAATCTACTATCATGAAAGCCATATAAGCAGTCTTAAATGATTAGTACCCTTGGAAAAGAGGAATGCCGTTTTGGTTGGTGTTATTTGATCTCACAAGCATGTTAGAATCTTGGGAATGATCTCTAGCTGCACTCCTAATTAATTCACCTTGGACTTCTGGAGCATCAACCTCTGTGTGAAATGATTCCGAAATGGAGGAAATACTTCCACTTGAGGACACATCATTGTCAGCTATAGAGCCTCTGGTTTCTCCAGAAGAAAATGTCAACAATTCCTGTCCGCCGGAGTATCCAGATGCAGGTTGTGCTACAACAGAAGTAGAAGGAATATATGATCAATGTTAGTGAACCTGATCTTTAGAACTGGTGTGTTAGCAAGAAGAGGAAAGAGGGGAAGGGACACTAGAAAACTAGCAATAGGAAAATATGGTAGGAGATGAACTGATCGCAGAAGGGAACAAAACGAAGCATAAAAAAAGTCAGTTATACTAGTTTCCATTTCCAGAACTCTTCCTGGCTTGTTTCAAGTTCAAAGGTCCATGGAGTCCAGATCACAGGGAACTGCTTCTTGAAAATATCTCATGTTGAGTACATTTCATAATATTTTCAGTGATTTAGGCTTCTAATCAGTCAACAAGTTACTTGTGATTTCCAGTATAAATGGTCTCATCTTACCCAAGTTATTTATATACAAGTACTTAGAAATATATAGAAATGTCCAGTTGAAGTCTCAAGAGAAAATATTCACAATAAGCATAGAACACACAATGATTTGAGAATGGGGAAAGAACAATAAATATATGTATAATAATGTGTCAATCCACTGTAGGCAAGTTGAGTTGTTGAAGTTTCATGAAAATGGTTTAGAAAATAAAAATAATAATTTTACAAAAGTGATATCAAGGTTGCACATCTTATTAGACGAGCATTCTCAATTCTGTACGGTTGTATATGTAGATACATCTCTTCCTCACACAGATGTCCATGTACATAGTCATCAATAAGTTCACAGAAGCATCAGAATAGTTTTAATAAAGTAACCATTTTAGTGAAGTCAACACCAATAAGCTAGCGGTGGCATCAGAATACCTTCAATAAAGTGACCATTTTAATGAAATGAATATTCTAATCCCCATCCCACTCTAGCTCCACTCCTCAATCCAAAATTCACAGTGAAAAAAAATGAAAATAAAGGATCTTTTCAGAAAAAAATGAAATTGATGTTAAACCTGGCAACTCTCAGAAAACGAAAACTATAGAACTTTGCTGCTCCTTTTAAAAAGGAATTTTGAATTTTTTTATATACATTTATGAACTTTCAACAATTCCCCAATTAATGCATTTCCTACACAGAAACATAAGCACCAATATATCCAGCTCAAGTATCATTCCAACAATTACAATCGTGCTACACCCTTTTCTTGCATTTTGAACATAATTATCCTACAGAATAAGCAAGAATTATCCATATACCGGAAGCAGCAGTAAAACAGCGCGTGAAAATCGAAGTTGTTTCAGCAAGATACAATGCCGCCTCATTCAGAGCTGGTGGCATTGATGTAAATAGCTGCGGAATACCAGGCCGATCGTCCCTTGTTGCATATTCATCAGACTTTGCAAGATGATTACAAAAAAATATACATATCAAATTAATTCAATCCCCAATAAGACAATTATTTACAACTAAAAACAAATCAAAGGATAAACCAAAAAAAATACATAACAATTAAGAAATATTACCATAAAAGGTATGCCGGACCAAAAAAAATACATAACAATTAAGAAATATTACCATAAAAGGTATGCCGGATTCTCCATCCTTCGAATCCCTAGAATCCATTGTATTAAAAAAAGGGGGATTTCTTGCAGCAAACAAAACCAAAATCTGCACGAGATTCGATAACGCTTATCTAAACATAATCCCAAAGTCGAAACTCTTACCTATAATTTAAACGGAAATTTAAAGAATCTAATAAATTGGCGGTGGTATTCAAGAAATTTAGAGAGGGGATCTTAAAAACTTAACTGCCAAGCAATCTGTTAAGAGTCAAATTTATGAACGCAGGAAATTTATTCAAAATACTCAGGCTTGAAGTCGTGTTGAAAGTATGCTTCGGATATGCAAAGTCGCAACGGTAAATTTAATCCTTTGGTCAAATAGTCACTGAAATTTGATATACATTACTATTTGCTCATCTATTTTTAAAATGTTACATCAATGGTCATTGAACTTTACTATAGGTTACTATTTGTTCATCTAAACTTAAAAGATTACTTATTGCTCACCTAAATTTAAACAAAGTTATCTATCAATAACTCGTATAATTTTCATCAGTGTTACCTACAGCAAAATTTAGTGAGCAACGACTAACCTTTTAAATCTTGATAAGCATGACGTACCATATAACAAAATTCAGTGGACGACGAGACACTTTTTGAAGATCGATAAACAAGTAGTAACTTGTAGCAAAAGATCAGTGACCATTGATTTAATTATCCCGATAACAACAAATTGATTTGAATCCATTTATTTCCACATAACGAAATTTACGAACTCCATCATACAAAATAGAAAATCACCTTCAATAAAAATTTATAGAAATCTATTTTATTTCCAATTGTGGAAATTAAAAAAAAGAAAAGAAAAGAAAAAGAAAAAGTATTATAAACATAAAGACAATTAGACTTTGTGAATGGTGACTAGTGAAGAAAAATAACTGACATGGGAGCTTATAGGAAAGAATAAAATCTCACAAATATTCAAACTTGTTGATTTGAAAAATCAAATACCAAGAAATAGAGAATAATTTGAGAATTTTCTCAAAACTCTTTATTTAATTCAAAAAGTCCACTTTTTTTTTTTTTTAATTACAATTATAATCTAATTAAAATTACAAAAATTGCCCAAAATAATGAAAAATTCATTTTCAAATCCCTAAATGATGGAATTGGATTGAAATAGGGCGTACATCATAGGCAAGCCCATGAGTTTTGCTGCTTGTGCCGTTTTCACTCAAAATAGATGCAAACATCTCCGAAAATGGACACTTCAAAAATTATTTTTTCGACCTCGATCTCATTTTTATCATGAACTCTTCCTCTTGTTTCATTGCATCATTCTCCCCTACGTGGAGAAAATTCATCCTTAAATTTTGTTGGCAGGAAGAATCTTTGATCATTAAGATTATTCCCAAAAAATGGCAACGGATGTTTGATATTAAAAATATCAGAAGTACGGATGTGACGGCCGCTTCAAACGATAGGCATTCGGGTAAATTTTCTCAATAATCTCTACTAGTCCAATCTTCTTTGCTGAAAGTTTGATATACTCGTGAACTGGGACACGATCCTTTCGTTAGCATTGCCCAGACAAAATCTCCCACCTCAAATTCCACATGTCATCTCTTCATGTATGCATCTTGTTTATACTTAGCAGCACGGCTTACAAATATTCACAAGTCATCTTATGAATATTTTTCAATTGTTCAACGAAATCACCAGCCTTACCACGTATTGATTAGATACTGGGATCAAATCCAGGGTACAGCGAGGGACCACACTATAACTCACGTGGAAATGACTAAACATATGCTTCAGTTCATAGCATAGTTATGAGCAAATTCCACATGACTTATTTCCTGATCTTGTGACTTGATTGAATCACCAGCCAAGCAACACAGCAAATTTCCCAATAAACGATTAAACACTTGAGTTTGGCCATTTGTCTGCGATGGCAGGCAGTACTAAAATCCAATAGAGTATTCACTTCATGCCATAGACTCTTACAAAATTAGCTAAGAAAATGGGTATCCTTGTCAGATACAATTGATGTAGGAAGTCAATGTAACCGATATACCTCAAGAAAATACAATATTGCCTGGTTTACAACATTTGTTGTTTCTTGTAAGGTATGAAATTGACCATCTTTGAAAAATGATACACCACTACAAAGATAGAACCAAACCCCCACTGAGTCTAGGCAAAGCCCAAAATAAAATCCATACTCACATCAGTCGAATGTTGGGTTGGAATAGGTGACGTCATGTACAACCTAGCATTAGTAGCATTTCCCTTCGAAAGATGATACGTACGACATCGTTCAATAAATCTGCTCCCTCTCTTCCTCATTGTTGGCCAATAGCAGGATACATTGGCAAGCCTAGAAAGCGGGGGAATTCTGTTTCGAGGCTGCGTTTCATTCCAGCAGCAACATTTCAATAGCAGGATACATTGGCAAGCCTAGAAAGCGGGGGAATTCTGTTTCGAGGCTGCGGTTCATTCCAGCAGCAACATTATATGATTCAAAACACCTTGTTCCATCCGGCGTGCCTCCATCACTAGTATAGTGGAGGTGTTAATGTACAATAAAGATCTATGTGTCCTTCATTATGCAATTCCTGAATAATTTTAAGGCGCATGCTGTTTGGAATGTATAATTAATTTTCTTTTAAGAGGAAATCGTTAACTCGTACAAAATTTGATTGTACACCCTCTTGTAACTTTTGGATAATTATTGAATTTACGAATTAATAGCCACATAGGGTCTCAAAACCTGGTGCTTCTACTTGTAATTCCATTAAGAGATATTGGTGCTTGCTCAAAGCATTTGTACCTTGTTCAATGCTCATGCATAGTGGCCCTAATGTTGAATTGCTTGGACTATAGCATAAAACTCTACATCATAGGTACTGTATCAACACTGGAGTCGAGAGCTTTTTGCTTAAATAAGCCACAGACCGAGCAGTCTGACTAAGAATTGCACCAATGACAAGATTCGAAGCATGAGTGTATTTCAAAAGGTTGGGTAAAATTAAGTAGTACCAGAATAGGAGCAGAAGTCATGTTTTATTTAATCAATCGAAATGGTTCATCTGCTTGAGGGCTCCAACGAAATCTTCTAGTCTTAATACAATCCATTATAGTTGTCATGATCCTACTGAAGTGTGATGTAAATCTTCTGTAAAAGGAAGCAAGACCATGAAAATTGCGAACTTCTTAACTGTCGTCAACTAAGATCATTGATTTACCGCTTCCATTTTGTTGTGTCCACTGCTAACTCATCCTTCGAAACCACATACCCCAAGACTACTACACGATCCATTAGGAAAGAAAACTTGGCTACTGCAACACAAAATTTGTCCCTACGAAGGATGACAAGAGCTTTTCAAAGATATTCCCAATGATCATCAGTTTAGCACTATAAATCAAAATATTGTAAAAGTAAATGATGACACATTTACCAATAAATGGTCAGTAAAAAGATTCATGACTCGAATAAATGTGCTCGGTATGTTGGACATTCCCAATGGCATAATTATCTACTCATCTCCAGGTCGAATACGAATCTTGTGGTAGCTACTGTACAAATCAAACTTACTAAGCGCCTGTTTGATAGAATTTATTTGGGAATAATGAGTTATGGAATAGTATTTTTTTGAAGAATGTGTGGTTAAAAAGTAAAAAAACTTTATTAGTTTGTGTGTAGAATATTTTATTATGTGAATGTATGATGGAGAAATGATATTGTAGCAAACAATTTAATTTTTTAAAGAAACTTTTTATCGTACATGGAGATTTTGATCCAGTAAGTCATCTAACCGAGGAATTGAAAAAGGATAAACATTGTAATCTTATTTATAGCGGTCATCCACATACATACGTCACGCTCCATCTTTAATTGGCGTACGAAAAGTAATGACAGCAAAATAGCTAAGAGTTTTTTCGGATGTGTCCTTTTGCCATAAGTTTTTCGACATGCAAGTCAATTTACTGCTGTATATCTCGTAATAGTTATTATTCGTCTTGTAATTATCGTTGAAATACATCCTGAAATTTTGTCATGGGTTGTAACCTCGGAGTCAACAGATTTACCCACCGCTAGATCTGCCATCTCCAACTTGAACTTTCTCTAGGTTATTAGATTGGTACTATCCACAACTGTAGATGTGCCAGAGGCTTTGCCAAATAGTAAGACAATCTTCTTTCCTCCAAACATAAAAGAATATGTACTAGTAAATCCATCATGCACTCAATGAAAATCAACTGCTAATCACTCATACAGAACATCATCCTTATATGTAGGTGTAATCTATTTAAATAATGTAAAAATGTTACATTATTTGGGATATATTTTGTTGCTAAATAAAATGTAGGAAAACAAAATATTTAGAATTATTTAAGCAATTTGGTAGGTCTTATCAAGGGTTTTTGATGATTGCCTTATTTGTTTAGTAATTAAGTCGACCCTAGTCCCAAATTGTAGAAAATTGTCACTGCTTTCATGTAGATGTTGTTCTAATTATTCAATACAATCATACTAAGAATAAGAATCGCGTAATTAATTGATAGTTCGAAATTTACACATGCGGAAGACATTGTTATGTATAAATATTACTAACTAGATCTTCATCTCCTTACTCCTCAAAATAATCAGCAGTCAAAGGGGCAAGCTAATACGATATGGAGAGGGGATCTAGCCATTATATAGAAAATTATAAAGTGGCACATTACCGACTCTAACCCTAATTAGGGTTTTCATAATTCCGGCACACATACTTAAAATTACCACATTATAATAATATAACACATAAGGTGTACAACGGCCCAAGTGATCTCTAACATATTTGGTCTAATCACAGTATCACTGTAAATCATACATCTAACCCGTAAAATTCATAATCAAATGGAAGCCCACATAATAGAATTATTCTAACATTCTTCCACTTGGGCAAACATTTGGTTTGCTATAGAACAGAACTTTTAACCTCCGAGTCAAACTACATAGGTGGCCACACAAGTATAACTGCAATGATAACACCTTACACAACATGATCCGATTCAACAAGAATGTTAACATCGAACATGGAAGTCGTTACATCAATCAAACGATATAAGACCACTCCACAACTAAAAATGCCAACATCCTTATCGACATGGATCCCCATCCTCTAACCAATGTGGTAGTATACATTATAAACTTAGCACCAAATGTGATAAAAAATTGTGCTAATTCATATCGGTCATCAAAATGCTTCTAATCAAAATGAAGCCACATGTCTTTAAAAGAGACTCATCTTATTTCTTTAATTGTCATATCTCGAAATAAAAAATAATATCATAATAAAATACATAAGTCAAATGCATGCTCAAAATAATGTATGGATAGGGAAAGATATATTTATTATCGGAAGGGGTTGTACCCGGAAAACATAAGGGTTGCCTTACATAAATAACTTCTACTTTGGTTTTTATAATTTTTTAAAGTGTATACCCATATTAGCAACATGTGTCGTAAAAACTTTAGAAGTGAGTCCCTTAGTCAAAAAATCTGCAATCATCGTCTCTGCATTGATATGCTCTATTTACCATTCCTTGACTCTGTCTCTGACCACCAAATTTTGATGTCAATGTATTTCGATCTACTGGAACTTTTATTATTTCTTGAAAAGAACTTTGTTGCTCTATTATCACAATAAATATTGATTGGCCTCGAGATGGAGCCAACAACTTTCAGCCCAAAAACAAAATTTATTAACCAAATGGCTTGAATTTTAACTCCATAACATGCTACAAATTTAGCATGCATAGTAGAAAATGCCATTAGATTCTGCTTAATACTTTTCCACGAGATAACACCACCAGCCAACATGAAAACATAACCTGAGGTGGATTTCAAATCATCTCGACATCCAGCAAAATTAGAATCTGAGTAACCTACCACCTCGAGGTGATTTGAACGCTGGGAAGTGAGCATGTAACTTTCAGTTTTCTTTAAGTATCTCATAACTTTCTAAGCTGCTCTCCAATACTCTTGACCTGGATTCGACTGAGACCTACTTAGCCAAATCACTACTTGCAAGTAAAATATCATCAACATACAAGACAAGATAAATAAAAATTTCCCCACTAATTTTAAGATAAATACATTGATCGACTATTTTTTTTTTTTCAACAAAACCAAAAGAAGTCACAACCTCGTCAAACTTCAAATACCGCTTCCGTGATACCTGCTTGAGGCCATATAAGGATTTATTCAACTTACATACCAAGTTTTTTTTTCCTTCACAACAAAATTTTCAGGTTGTCTCATGTAAACCCTTTTTCGAAAGATCTCCATTCAGAAAAGTCATCTTAACATCCATCTGATGAATGTCCAAATTATAATGTGCTACAGTGCCATGATGATTCGAAAAGAATTTTTGGACGAAACAGGTGAAAGGGTTTCATTATAATCAATGACCTCTCGTTGAGTGAATCATTTTGCAACTAATCTCGCCTTCTTTCATTCAATATTTCCTTTTGAGTCTAATTTAATTTGCTTTTAAAAATCTACTTGTTATCTATGGCTTTAGCATTCAGAGGAAATTCAACAAGTTCCCAAACTTTATTTGTATTCCTCGTCGCCCTGAGTTGTTTGTTTCAGAACCTTAATATTTAGGTATGAAATTTCTAGAGAGAGCCCAATCTGTTTCCTTTCCAATTTCAAGGCTCTTTATATGCTGCGTGACAAGTGAGATGAAGATGATTATTCGTGTGTTTTTGTAAATTCCTTTCTCTTCGTGTGTGTGAGAGTTTAGAGAAGTTTTTGTTTAAAAGATTCAAATCTTAATATGTAAGCTGTGATACCGTAATTATTCAATACAATCATGTTAAGAATAAAAATCACATAATTAATTGATAGTTCGAAATTCATACATGTGGAAGATATTGTTATGTATGAATACTATCAGCTAGATCTTCCTCTCATTGCTCCTCAAAATAATCAGCAGTCAATGGGGCAAGCCAATACGATATGGAGAGGAGAGGGGATCTAGCCATTATATAGGAAATTATAGAGTCGGCCAATTACTGACTCTAATCCTAGTTAGGGTTTTCATAATTCCGGCTCACGTACTTAAAATTACCACATTATAATAATATAGCCCGTAAAATGTACAACGGCCCAAATGATCTCTAACATATTGGGTCTAATCAAAATATCATTGCAAACCATTCATCTAACATGTAAAATTCGNAGAAGTCACAACCTCGTCAAACTTCAAATACCACTTCCGTGATACCTGCTTGAGGCCATATAAGGATTTATTCAACTTACATACCAAGTTTTTTTTTCCTTCACAACAAAACTTTCAAGTTGTCTCATGTAAACCCTTTTCCGAAAGATCTCCATTCAGAAAAGCCATCTTAACATCCATCTGATGAATGTCCAAATTATAATGTGCTACAGTGCCATGATGATTCGAAAAGAATTTTTGGACGAAACAGGTGAAAGGGTTTCATTATAATCAATGACCTCTCGTTGAGTGAATCTTTTTGCAACAAATCTCGCCTTCTTTCATTCAATATTTCCTTTTGAGTCTAATTTAATTTGCTTTTAAAAATCTATTTGTTATCTATGGCTTTAGCATTCGGAGGAAATTCAACAAGTTCCCAAACTTTATTTGTATTCCTCGTCGCCCTAAGTTGTTCGTTTCGGAACCTTAATATTTGGGTATGAAATTTCTAGAGAGAAAGCCCAATCTGTTTCCTTTCCAATTTCAGGGCTCTTTATATGCTGTGTGACGAGTGAGATGAAGATGATTATTCGAGTGTTTTTGTGAATTCCTTTCTCTTCGTGTGTGTGAGAGTTTAGAGAAGTTTTTGTTTAAAAGATTCAAGTCTTAGTATGTAAGCTCTGATACCGTAATTATTCAATACAATCATATTAAGAATAAAAATCACATAATTAATTGATAGTTCGAAATTCATACCTGCGGAAGATATTGTTATGTATGAATACTACCAGTTAGATCTTCCTCTCATTGCTCCTCACAATAATCAGCAGTCAATGGGGTAAGCCAATACGATATGGAGAGGAGATGGGACCTAACCATTATATATGAAATTATAAAGTCGGTCAATTACTGACTCTAATCCTAGTTAGGGTTTTCATAATTCCGGCTCACATACTTAAAATTACCACATTATAATAATATAGCCCGTAAAATGTACAACGGCCCAAGTGATCTCTAACATATTGGGTCTAATCAAAATATCATTGCAAACCATACATCTAACATGTAAAATTCACAATCAAATGAAAGCGCAGATAATATAATTATTCTTACGTATTTATGTATCTCTATTTTACTTAAAAGGTGACTTCATTACTGGTCCAACCTCGCGGCTTGTCGACAACCATTGTTCAACGTTAATATAACCATTCTTAATTCAATTAAAAAGAAAGTATATATATTTTATATGTTTTGTAGTGCAAATTGCATATGTTCATATGGACGCATGCCCACATCCATAACTGTAAACCAATCTCAATTAGAAGAAGAACAAAGTGGTCCAATTTGTGCTCAAGCTTAATAACTTTTGATAGGATTGTTAATATAAAATAATTGTAATTGAGCGTTTTACAATTTTTTTTTTTCTTTTTTACGAAAAACATTAGGACCACTTTGTGCTCAAGTTTAATAAATTTTGATAGGATTGGTAATATAAAAATAATTGCAATTATGGGTGTTTTATAATATTTTTTTGAAAAACGTTAGGTAATATATATCAATCAGTCAATTCTTTCTACATCCTCAATTAAATTTAGTTCCTCTAAATCTGAGCCTTACAAATAATAATTCATCCATCAAATCTGCACAAAAAATGTCAATTTCTTACGTGCCATGCCAAAAGAGAGACGTAGTGTCAATGCGTATATAGATTCGATAAATCAATTTATTTTTCATATATTTAGTATTAAATTAGTTCACCTAAATGTTTAGACAAAGTATACGAAAATAATGTCTAATTTTCGGAACCATCGTGAATAGAAACATTGCAAGAAAATTTGAAAATGACAACATTACCCTTAACAAAATGTTTAATCGATGGATTGCGATGGTCTAATATACTATGCGTCTATTGGGAGAATAATATGTACTTGAAAATGATTTTGGGAGAAAATCATTTTAAAAAATAAAAATCTCTGTCAAACAAACCTCATATATGTCAAATAATCACATTTTAAATATTAATTTGCTTAGAAATTATTATTTATTTATATTTTATCTTCAACCAGTAAAATATAATTATATGAAGCATTATGCACCTGCTAGACCTAGTGTGCAGGGCGCAAATTTCAAATTATAAATCATAAACAATAACACAAACTCCCTTCCCAATTTCTAAAACATTGCGATTAAGCATATTCAAGAACTCTTTGAAATTTAATGCTGTATGGCATCTCCAACACCTTTTGAGCTTTCAATTATCCATTTTTCTGAGGAAAATTTGAAGCCCAACACAAGTTCATGGATTGCAGCATGCAAAGATGTTCGCCTTGCACTTGAAGAATATGGATTTTTCGTGGCAAAATATGATAAATTTTCCTCTGAACTTGACAAAAATGTTTTTGATGCTGTACAAGAATTATTTGATCTTCCCTTAGAGACCAAAGCTCGAAACACTTCGGATTTGACGTTCTATGGTTATGTTGGACAACTGCCTCATGCTCCCCTCCACGAAAGCATGGGAATTCCTGATGCAACGACCATCGATGGAGTTCAATGTTTTGCGGATCTCATGTGGCCTTCTGGAAACCAGCAATTCTCGTATGTGATGTTAAACTATTTCGTCTAAAAATTTAAACCGTTAGAGATTGATGAATGTCAATTTTATTAATTCAAATTATGTATTTAACATTCTCCCTCACGAGTTCATCTTTTTTATTATTAAAATCCTTTTTTAAGTCAGTTTCATAAAGTAAAGAAACATATTTCGAGTAATTAATCTATTTGTACAATTGATGTTGACAATATTGATATTGTCAAAATTTGAACAATTGATTTAAAAAATAGTTTTTAAAATGGATGAACGTAATTTTGTCAAGTGTGAGTTATTAATCAAGATTGTAAAAATAAATAAATAAATAATTGTACAAGTAGCATGATTGCTTTTTGAGGCCAATTTTACGATAGAAAATAGAATAATTGTCAAAACTTTACCCTAGACTATAACCCAAATTTGACTCAAAGGATCCTCTCCCGGGTGGCGGGAGGGGGGTGATTAGTCTTGGGACTTGAATTTATTTGCTTTGAAAGTACCTATTCGAATGTTTGAACTTATTATTCTGTATAAAGGTTATGGGATAGTCTTGATTCCACAACGTTTGGTAGTTGAGATTTGTGTAACCCTAATTTCACGTACACATGAGGGATATGTACCAATAGATTTTCTAGAAAAAAAATCCAATTAATTTAATTCTAATTGTTTTAAATTATTCAAAATTAAGCACCATTTACTATATTTTATTTACTTATTTACTTTTGTTGTAGTGACACCGTACTGTCTTATGCGAGACAAATATCAGAACTCGAGCAAACGGTGGACAAAATGATGTTTGAAAGCTATGGTACACAAAAACACTATGAATCCCATGTCGAATCAACAACATATCTTCTAAGACCCATAAAATATTCAGCACCAGACAAGAACATAAGCAACAATATTGGTACAAATATTCACACAGACAAGAGTTTCCTGAGCATACTTCATCAAAATGAAGTTAATGGATTGGAAGTGCAGCTCAGAAATGGAGAGTGGATTACTGTTGATGTACCTCCTGCGTCATTTGTTGTCATGTCAGGGGATGCTTATCAAGTAAGTTAACTTTTTAGGTTTCTTTTACTAATACTTGCTGTCTTGCTCTATATTTTCTTGGGGCCTGTTTGGTACGATTCAAAATTCAATTAAAATTGAAAATATAGTCGTTATTGGATCTCACTCATCTAATAAAAGTCAACAATAACGGCTAGTTTTTCAATTTTAATCCGATTTTAATATCTACCAAACACCCTCTTGATTTAGATGCAGCGTAAGTGGTCGTGTTTGTCGTGCTTCTAAAGTAAGTTACTTATTTTGAGAAACATACAAGAGTTTTGTTTTCTTTGTTAACAAAACTTACTTTTTTCAAAGTAAAATTTAAAGACGGCCAAACATGCTACTAAGTAATAAGAAAAATTACGGTTTGGGGTAATTATATTCTCACACACACAGACCCACAACATTTTAATTACATTAAAGGCATTAACCTTTATTCATTATCACACTTGTATCCTTAACTTTTTCTTTCGTCACATTCTTATTTTTAACATTTCATTGATCAGAAAATCATGTCCTTAATCTTATGATTTTCATCCAAAAATATTACTAACGTGCTTTAAACAAAGGGTCAAATATTTAATAACATTTTTACATTATTATTTGTTTTGATTATTTAAAAATACAATGGGCAAATGAGTGTTTTTACTCTGATTTAACCAAAAAAAAAAAAAAAATTTGGAGATAAACCATGATCAAGAATAATTTATGTATATTTGATAATAAAACTACAATGAAAAAAGTTTGAGATATAAATATGATAATGTGTATAGGTTATGAATGTTTCATGTAATTAAAATGTGGGTTAATATCCCAAATAGTCACTCAATTTGTCCAAAAGTTCCCACCAGGTCACTGAACTTCAAAATTACCCTAACTAATCACTGAACTTTGTAAATTTTGACCCCATTCATCATTGGCCTCAAAATCAAACGGTTTTTGATGACGTGCCAAACAGAGTAAATGACTTGGTGCATGTGTGTACAATTTCTTCGCCAAGTAAGCAAAATGAATTGAGGTGGACAATCTCTCTCAACCCTCGTCGGATTCCACCATAGCCGCCAACATGATACCTCAAACCACCAATTTCCGACCACCTCAAAAAAATTAATAACTAAATTTATATCATCTGGCTTAAATATAGCAGTGTTACTTACATAGTATTAGAACATTTAGGCATTTTATTAAGTCTCAGTTTCATCCATATGTGAAAATCTTTAGTCCTGGATTTTGATGAAAAAAGAACTAGAATGCGAATGCGTCTTGAAGATAAACTATAACTAAATAAATTGACCACTCTCTAATAGTTTAATAAGGTTTTTTTTTTCCTAAAAGGACTCAAAAAAAGGAATAGAGTTCTTTTTATTTTAATTATTCATTTAATTTGTCTTAGGCATGGAGCAATGGGAGAATACATGCAGCCAAGCATCGAGTTATTATGAAAGGGGACAGGGAACGATATTGTCTTGCATTATTCTCATTCAATCACGGAACTACAAATATTCCTGAAGAGCTTGTGGATTCGGATCATCCATTGCAATTCAGTCCATTCGACAATTTCGGGTTGGCCCGGTTCTACCTCAGTGGAGCGACCCAGATGACTGAGAGCAGTGCAAAAGCCTATTGTGGTGTCACTTCTTGAATTTTCACAAAGAAGAAGAATAGCAGTAAACCTTATTAAGAAAGAGATAAAAAGTGTCAAAATATTGTTTACTTTACTGTTTGAATTGTGTTTAATACGTAGTACTAAACACGGTTTGTGTGTGTGTGCACGAGTGTGTGTAGTTTTGTGTCTTGTTTTGGTTTTGAATGTGTATTACATGTAAAATTGAAATTGTACTGAAGATTGTTACCTTGTTTTTAAGTCGATTTGTGAATGGATTTAAGGATGTTTTCAAAGTATATGGTTAAGAATGAGATATTAGCATTGATTGACGACATGTTTCGTTGGACACTTTTAAAGATAACCAATTCCACGTTATTTATAGATAAAACAAATAATGAACATATAACGAAGCTAAAAAAGGATCATTTGGGTTGTCGAACTTGCTGGCCTTAGGCTTGCTGAGTCTTGAGTTTCACATTTTTCTGTCATGTATATCGACTAGAAGAAGGTAGGTAATTCCTCGCGCGTGAGGAGAAGAAACAAGTCAGAGCATATATACTACAAATACCTATTTACATTCCTATGTAAATGGAAAAAAAATCGGAAGAAAATAATTAGTGACGATTATCAATTTTTGATTCTCCAAATTAGAAGGATATCCCAATTTTTGTGAAATTGGTTCACTCTACATTCCTTAACACCCCCCCTCTAGTTTGGAATGTACGTTGATAATTTCTAACTTGCATAGAGTTTCGAATTGTGAAGAAATCAATTGTTTGGTAAAAATGAGCTGACAAGGCCATGAGTTTTTGTAGCATTAAGAAATAACCTAAATTAAAGTCTTATTTATTATACTCTCGAGTTCTACAATGAAATATTGTTCTTGAATGTGTGTGTAACAGTGTATTTTGCGTTATAGTTCGGGTATTGGATGTGTATGACATTTAAATTGAAGGTTGAACCCCGCCCCGCCCCTAGAGTATCGTGGAGGAGGTAAATCACTGGATGTGTCTCAACAGACCAGTGTACAAGAACTGCCATAACATTTAAATTGAAATCCTACCTGTGGTTGTCACCATTTTATTAGTCTATTTGTGAATGGAGTAAAGTTGTTTTTTAAAGTGTTGAGTAAACAAGAAGAATAGCTTCTGTTGACATGTTCGGTGTATTTAGACACAATTTGATTAAAGAAGATTGCCACTTGAAATATTTGTTCATATTTCTTTGGCTTATGCTGGTCTTACTTATTTACTTCACGGAATATCTCAAGAATTGTCATTTTGTTGTTATTAAAATTAATTCGGTTTTATAAAAATTAAAAGACTAAACGAACAAATTGAAACCAACCCTTACAATGAATCAACTAGTTTTTTACGAAGGCATCAAGATTTAGACAGAATAGACTCGGAATATATTGTACCCTTATGTATTACAAGGCCACAAAACCCAAGATCCTAAAAAAGGCACATTGAAGCTACTTCAATAGACCAACCAATCTCAATCCCATATCACTACACATTCTATTCTCAAAGAATCAATGAGACTCTCACCGAATTCACTCAAAAATCACAAGAACAACACCCAACCAGATGGTGAAGATGAAAGGAGAAGACGAACCAAAGTCAAAAAGAGAACAGACGACTGGAATGAATAAGAATGTGAAAGGGAAATGCGAATTTTAAGTCAATTCATTTTGGATTCGAGTTTTGGGCCAACACACTGATGTTATCGGGCAATAGCAAGTAACCGGCTTGACCTTAATAAAGAAGGCACATTTGGGGATCACCCAATTGGATTGGATTGGCATCATAGTCCAAAAATTCAAATCATCAATGCTTTGTCACCCTATAATATATAGAGTAGCTTACAAAAATACCCTTAAAATTAAAAGTCTTTTAAGAAATCATATGAAACATATTTTGAAAGTAAAAAAATACTGTGTAAAATCAATTGTCACTTTTTTTTAATAGAAAAAGTGACCAACTGTCACTTTTTTATTAAAAAATGACATACAATGTTATTTTTATTAAAAATTGATATTTGCCATTAAAAAAGTGATAAAAATAAAAAAGCTGACTAAAAAAAATGATGAGCACTAAAAAAAGTGACAAAATTTAAAAAAAGTGGCGAATTCAAAAAAGTGGTACAAATTAAAAGAAATTATACTGATTAAAAAAGTGACAGACAATAAAAAAAGTGACACACTCAAAAATCGACAAAATTCAAAAAACGTGACAAACTCCCAAAAGTGATGAAAAATAAAAAAAAAAATGACACAAATTTAAAAAAAAAAAAAAAAGTGACAATCTTTTGACGAAATTCACGAGTTTCCTTCTCCTGTAACAATTGGAGTCGAATTTTTCCTTGTAAGAACATTGGGCGGCTCTCAACAACCTTATCCTCTTCGATCTAAGTGACGAAATTAAAAAAAAAAAAAATGCTATTGCTTGCACTAAACTCGCAATTTTTCCAAAGACAATGAAATGTGATGGAAGACACATTTTTGAAATGGTTACATTTTTTGGTTTTTAATAATGTAATCAGTCACTAGCATTATATGTATTTAGATGTGCATAAAATTGATGGAAAATCAAGAAAAGAGCAATCAATCCTTATGCAATACACCCTCTCTTCTCTTCTCCATAAAACTATAGAAAAACTAACATTACACTAAGCAATACCCCTCATGGAATTGGTTGAAACTGTACAATCATGAATTGGAGCTCCATATAATCCTGGGTGATCACTCTCCATCCCATAATCCATGGTAGGTGGACGGTACTCCATTTCTTCTTCCTCTTCATACATATTCAGGTATTTCAATATCATTTTTCCTCACATTTTCCCACAAAAATTCCAACCTGTTTACATACCTCACCTTCCAATACCACCTGCAAAATTTAACAAATATGAATTCGACCTAAAAAACTACTTTGAAATTAAAAAATTCGACATTACAGCTTATGCTTTACCCTCCAGTTCAGGGAAGATGAGATGGCCAAACGTCACGAGGAAGAGGCGAGATTGAAATACAGAATGGAGGAAATAAATTGAGTCCAGATTCTCACTAATTTTAACTGGAATTGCTTCATAGATTGATCTCAAAGCTGAAATGCCTGGGAAGTTGTCGCTTCTGCTCCCACCGGTGTTGACATAAACCACTGAAAATGGGTTTTCGCCTAAACTTGGGAAAATCTCACCCTCTAAGTATTTCTTCAGTGCATCAACATTCAGAACTCTCGCTGTTAACAAATTACGATTGCAAATGTTAATACAAACAACAAGTAGAGAGATTGAAAACAAGAATGAATGAATTCATTATACCTAGAAAGTTTTTCCCGATTATGCGAAGGATGGTGAAACCTCGTTTATCTTTGCCTTGAATTTTGAAGATTTCAAGTTTTTTGAAGAGATTTTCTTGTTCAGATTGAGAGAGTATGCAAGGAGGAGCAGTGATGGAAGCCGATGATGATATTTTTGATATACCTCGAGCACGACGACTGGCACGGGTCCCACCTCCCCCTTTTGGGGTTCCTAGTCCTCGAGCTCGAGGATTATCATCTCCCGAATAGCCTCAAAGTCTCGTTAATAGTCCTCGGGATACATACATGCTCGGGATATTTACTTGGCTTCTCTCAAAAAGCTCCGCGATCACGCGTCACCAATCCACCTCTATGAAAGTGTCCTAATTCTACCCAATTACTGTTTCTCAAATGTTTTAAGTGAGGAAGGAGTCTACCTCTGCTAGAATTGCAGGAAGAATAGGACACGTCTATTCAGCACGTGTCCCAACAATAAAGCCTGAAATCAAGGTGATGTGTCCTACTACAACTCTCTTACTTTCCCCTATAAATACAGCACTCCCATCCATCATTCATGTACGTTTTTTACATACATATATTCGGCATATACTCAACTTCCTTATCTGACTTATGCATCGGAGGGGCGACGATGACACACCTCGACGCCTTTGTTTCAGGTACCGGAAAATCTTGTTCGTGAACATCTCAGTGATCAAACTCGGAATTCAACAGGTGACTATTTTTGGTAAGATCATTGGCGCATTGCAGAATGTGTTGAGAGAAACTAAAAAATGAATTGTTGAAGGAGAAGCAGCCCCTAGACACGGAATCGATGGGTGACGGTGTCTGTGGTCTCTGTATTCAGTGGGCTTGGAGATTTTGGAGTTTTGGGGGATTTGTTTTAGTTTAGGGAATTTATGTCATTATGTGATGTTTAATTAATTTAGGGTATTAATCTAATTGGGTCAATTTNTGATGTTTAATTAATTTAGGGAATTAATCTAATTGGGTCAATTTTTAGAGCATTAGGCCTAATTTCCTCTAATATATACTAGGAACAAAATCCTGTCAATTTTCATGTTTCTGCAACGACAACTAACTAATAGAGGAAGAAAAGTTACAACCCTTGTTTGAGCCACATTTTTTCCATCAAAATATATTCTTGAACAGTGATTTGACCATATTTCAACCACACATTTTTTAATAAAATAATGTTACATACAAACCCAAAACCTTTCTTTATATTTTAAGCACACATTCTCCACCATAACACTATTACAACATGCATTTTTGAAGGAAAAAAAAAAAAGAAAAAGGGCTCAAACAAGCAACAATAATGTTTTTACCATTAGAAAATTACTTGGGAAGCTCATGTACACACAAGTCTAAAATCAGTCACTTGGCTGTTGCAAAAGTTAAAAATCAGAACCTCATCACTGATTTCACAAGAATGTATGTATTCAAGTGGTTATTGTACAATGACTTCAATACTAGTCCAACCTTGTAGCCATATTCAAGTAATTGAGGTTTTATCTCAAAAGGCTAAATTATTGTATGGAGTCTCAATTCTCTTATAAGTCTATCATTTACCCTGTGTCTAAACAATGTAATATTTCGCTCGCATTTATCAATAATTTCCTTTTGGGCAAAATACCATATTGTCTCAGTTCCCTCTCAATCAATAATCTATCTATTTTTCTTTATCGAATTAGAATAATCTATCTATTTTTCTTTATCGAATTAGGAAATATTATATACTCCATCAAGACTAAACTCTTCCCTATGTTTAGGATCTCACCTTGAGAGCCATCACGATCCAACTCTGGATCCACCACCTTCGTTCGACAAGGATACCACTTGTGGGTCAGCATTATCTCCCTCTTTTTCTCCTATTCTCAAGTCTCAATTGTTTTGTACTCTTTTTCTAAATATAACCATTCACTCCTTATATAACTATATTCTTCTATCCCCTTTTAAAACAAACTCAATTCCTTTTGTGGGAATTCGCATGCATAATCATAAATTACGGGTCAAGGAACTTTACATGAAATGATGAATTCCAAAATCTTTTAAATGGTTGAATTACCTTACTTTCCAAAACTTCAAATCTACAATTTTCTTGGACTCCAATCCTAATCACAATAGAATGATTGTTAGTCACAACCTAAGTATCAAATTTTGTGATTTTTCATGCCAAAATAGTAGTTCTATGTGTCTTTTAATTTTGGTGAAATTTTTTCATATGAATTTTACCGTGAGGCTACATAGGAGTTAAGGAGGGTTATGGGTGTTGTAGGTTTGAATTTCAAGTATAAGTCACCCCCTCTAATTCTTTTAATGTCTTGTGGGTCGAGTTATCTAATATTGGCGAGTGGCGACCCATGACCCGTATTCTCTTAACACTTTTATATGAGATTTGGCTACATAAGAAAATAAAATCAAAACATAAGAATGAATGACAAAAAAATAAAAATAAAAATTCCACATTATATCAACCATTGTCACAACTTGACTTTTAATGGATTTTAAAAATTCATATAGTTTTAAATGTCCCAAATCAGATTCAAATCATTAAAATCATTCAAATCCTTAGAATCCACAGAGGTCAACCTCTATATGACTATTCTTTATTCAATGAAAAAGAAAGAATTTATAGTATAAATTACATATATTCCACGTGGACGCATGTCCCACGCCCATAACTAAAAAACCAATCCAATTTAGAAAAAGAACAAACTGTCCCATTTCTTCTCTAATTTTATAACTTTTGATAACGCTGGCAATACATAAAAAAAAAGTTGTGATTATGAGTCTTTTACCAATTCTTTTAAGCATTAGGTAACATATATCAATCGGTCAATTCTTTCTAAATCTTTGATCAGTCCTTAGAAAATTTTTAAAAATCTACAAAATCTTAGCATTACAAATATTGATTCGTCAACCGAATCTTCATAGAAAAATGTCACTGTCTTACTTACTCGTGAAAAGGGAGAGATTGTGCTAAGATGCATTTCATTGAAGACCATATAATTTAAAAATCGGTTCTTTCAAAGGTTTGAAATAGTACATAAAAATACGTATTTGAGAGGACGTAAAATGGAGTTGCAAAAAATCACTACAAAAAAACTACGATTTCGCGACAAAAATATGTTATAGCAAAAATCAAGATTTCCCTACAAAAGTAATTTAGCGACAACAAGATGTTTGTTGCAGGCATTGTCGCGCTATATGAGTCATAGAATGTATTTTGCGACAACTTTCAATCATTCATCCGATTAACAAACTCGCAACATTATTTTTTGACGTCAACATGATATTCGTCACCATAATATCGTCGCAATAAATATATGTCGCGAAAAAATAAATGGGCTACAAATCAATTTGTCGCAATAATTATTCAAAGACAAAATCACTAGAAAAATATTTGTTACAAGTACTACATAAAACGTTTGTTACCTATGCTATTTTACAACAACATATCACGGTAAAATTGTTACAACGGTACACATTTATTTGCAAATATAACTTACTCATTAAAAATAGCTCATGACTTAATAAAAAGAGTGCTTCAATGTACAATTAACCAAATATAAATGATTCCAAACTATACAAAAAATAAATAAATAAAAATTGTATTATTGTCTTCATGTTGTAATAATCCTCAATCTCTTATCAATCATTTATCAACTCTCAGTAGATGCATCATCTATATTGGAATCTACATAGAAAAGGGAAAAGGCGTTAATTGTCATTAAAAAATAAAATATAAGGACTTACGTAATAGAAAAAAAGAAACAAAATACACACAAAAAATATTTTACTTACCAATATCATTATCATCTTTACTATTTACAAAAATAAGGATCCTAGCAAACTATTAGGATCCCTGTTTAATTCATTGCCATTGTGAAAGTCGCTATCTTTACCACGTCTTTTGGGTAAACAGAGGTGGAAGAACTATTCGGAGACTAAAAGAAAAGGAAGCTTATGATTGCATTGTAGCAGAGAATTACACAATTCAATCACCATGATCTATTTGAATGGCACTAAATTTCTAGCAGGGAAATTTTTGGGTATGAAAAAAGAGATTGTATGGTACGGTAACATTTAGTGACACTGACATTCATATAGACAATTCCAACTGAATGGCACTTTAATCTTTTCTTGCAGTCTTTTGCACCTCTGTATAGGAGCTTGTCTGAGTTGCACCCAATGTTTTGTTTCCCTTAAAGCTTTGAACTCTTTCAGTTCTATCAGCACATGTACCACATGCAGATGACAAAATTCCCATTGAACAGAGGCAACCTTGTACTAGGAACCTTCATATATAAAGAAGAGGGCAGTAGAGATTCAAAGCAGCAACCCTACATGATTACAAAGAGAAGCGATTAAAAACTAGCAAAAATAAAGAGAGATGTTAACTGCACAATCAGGTGATGAAGAAGGTGATGATTTTGGATTTGATGTGGTGGTGGTGGTGGTGGTGGTGGTGGTGGCGACGGTGCTTCTACTTTTCAATGGGGTAGCCTATTAGATGGTTTTGTTGGTGGTTTTGCAAATGGAGGTAGTGATATAGCCACAAATCATGTTTGCAAGTCACATGTCATAATCAACAGTTGGTGATGATAAGTCACAGGTCACATATCATTTTGCATAGGTCACATATAAATGTAAATAGGTCACAAATCAAACAGAACTAGTCACAGTTCACACTCCATTGGTCATGTCATATTGTATGGGTCACATATCAATGTCAATAGGTCGTAGATCAAATAGAATTGGTCACATGTCGCAGGTTATAGTTCACATGTTATAGTTCAAGTCATATGTCATCATTCACAAGTCCAATGTCACATTATATAGGTCACATATTAATATTAGGGGGTCACATTTCATTTTGCATTGGTAACGGGACAATTTCTACAAGTCACAGATCTAAGAAAATTGGTCACAGGCTATTAGATCAATATCACAGATAACTTATCAATGTCCATAGGGTTACAGATCACATGTAATATGTCATAGTCAAAGTGCATAGATCATATGTCACAAATTCAAGAGATCTAATCATATTTCATTGATTTCTTCGACCTCAGTTATCCGAAATGTCATAAATTCAATTAACCAGATTTCGACGGTAAATATTGAACTCATTTGCTCCGGTAAGTACTCTACAAATTTCACCTGATGCTGTTTTTCAATTCAATTTTAGAAAATAGTTTTAAATTATACTAGCACTGTCGAGTCGTTGTTGAAGAAAATGATCAGTCTCAGCGATACTTAGTCGATGTTCTCCAAGGTCACCATATTTCTCCCTTTATCTCTACTATTTGAATCGACGATACTCATTCACTGCTGAGCGACGATCAATTCACTGTTGAATAAGTCGTAGCTGGATTGATGTCGACGGTGGGTGAATGCCAACAACTGTAAGAGGGGATGGAGACGACGGACACGTGAGCAAAGGTGGGTGTGGAATAATTTAATTTAATAATGTTATTATTTAAAATTAAAATATTGAATTAACACCTGACTTTTGGTTCATATTTAATGCCTGACTTATGATTGTTTTTCCCAATGGTTGAGCATTTGTGGGCTTAATTAGTCATACAAATTAGGTTTTTAACGTCCATTAGTCATTAGAGACTGGGTTTGGATTGGAAACAATTTCTAAAATTGGGTCCAACTCTAAGAAAGCAATGTAGTGTATCACATATTTGAAGGGTTACTCTGGAATTGGGACCTCTTTCATCTACCTTTGCCTAAGCGGGGATGGGACAGGGAAATCCCCAAGCAGGAAAAATCCTTCCTTTTACTATATATTTGAGGATTCTCAAGTCAATGCTTGGCAATCGAATCAGTGGTCAAAATTCTCATGATAAGGTGACATGGCTTGAACTAATGGCTGAAATTATTTATTCTCTTGTCTTTGCATCTGAAAACTTGCCAATGATTACATCCAGCATGACTTATTAAGGAGGATGTACAAATTGTGCTTCAATTGCCTTCTTTATTAATTTCATGAGGCCATGACTACAATTTGGGCTGAAAAATCAAAATCACAATTATGCGCACCAGTGTTCAATGAAATACTTAGTTGGGATTTCTCTTGTTCAAATGCCATTTTGATCATTATCTCTATTATTCGAGACAAGCTCTAGGACCCTGCATGCTTCGGGCTAGCTTGTAAGACATCGTATCTATCAAGGAGCTTAAACTCGTGGATTTCTTATTATCAAGGGTAGCAATCTATAAATCATCATTTCTTGAATAAAGGGAGATGCAGTATCTTGGAGATCTTGTTCCTTAAAAAAAATCGTCGATGTGTTCACAAGATGTGTATTCCTCAATTCACGGGATGCTTATTTTCCGCCTTACTAGATGCTTATTCTTGTCTTCACAAGATGCTTATAGCTTATTCCTCATCTTTCACTATAGTCGAGCCTACCAATAAAATCTCGTCTATTTGAGGCTGCTTATAAGTCTCCGATAGTTCGAAAGTTATTCGTGAGACGTTTATTTCTTGCCTTGTGGGATGTTTATTTCCGTCTCGTCAGATATTTATTCCTTACTTTTGTGTGATATTTTTTCATTGCATCTCACTATCGTAGAGTTTAGATGTAAGACCTGTCTATCCGATGCTGTTTATAAGTCTTCAATAGTTCGAGATAGTCATATGGGAGATGTTTATCCCTCGCTTGTATGATATTTATTCCCCTCTTCACCATTCAGATTTCTTGGTTTCACGAGATGTTTATTCCTCGTCATTCACTATTGTCGAGCCCAACTATAAGACTTCGTCTACTCGAGGTCAGTTTATAAGTCAGCTACCTACATTTCAGAGCTTTACTTCTGCTTCTGCTTCTGCTAT